TCTGCCCGCCCCGACATCGGCAGCGGCATCACTTCCGTCGCCGGTTGCGCGGCAACCTCTGAGGGTGCCCCCTTGGCCTTGCCGACCGCTTGACTCAACGAGGGCACGGGCACCACCGTGGGCGGCGCCAGATCGGCCGACAAGGCTGTGACACTGGCTCCGCTCTCGCCTGAAATGGGAGCGACGTTTGGCGGTGGCCCCTGCCTTGCCTAAAGGGCGACGGTCTTCTTGGGCACCAGCGCTATGGAAGTGCCCCGTCTGACCCATCTCCCGATGCTACAGAAGAAACAAAAGGCGTGAGTCACTATGAAAAATAGAGAAAAAACAGAGATAACAGAGGAGTCGGCAACTTACGTTGGTGCTATTGGGCGGTGGAGACGTTTGAGGGGATGAACCCCCAGTTCCCTGCTCCAGCTCGTCGGGGCAGGACCGTTTTGAGCCCGTACCCTGCTCCCTGGCCGAGGGGCTCACCTCCCTCGTATCCAAGGGCATAGCAGCGGAGCCACTTCCCTCTCTCGGCTCCTCGGGCGCGGTGGAGGATCCGCCCACCCCTGTTGGCTCTTGGGCACGCGACGATGGCTCCACCCATCCACGCTGTTTCCTAAGGCACGGCGGCGGGGCCGCTCCCCTCCGTTGGCACCTCAGGCGCGGCGGTAGATCCGTCCACCCCTGATGGTTCTAAGGATGAGCCAACGGTCTGGCCCACCTCCTCCGGCCTCATGGCCGCACCTTCCTTTGCGTGGAACGGGAAGGGGCCCTGCATTGACGAGTGGGTACCTGTCAGTGCATCCTCGCTTCCCAGGTCGTCCCACTCAACGTTGGCAACTACCTCGTCATCCTCCTCGTTGTCATCATCGTCGTCATCACTGTCTGTCTCCTCGCCTCGCTCCCATGCCTACAACTTCTGTAGCTTCTTCTTCCTCTTGAACTCCTTCGTCTTCTTCTGCCACTCGGCCGGCGGTGTGATTCACTAACGCCACGAGCGGTCCTTCGGCAGCGGAGCCGAGCTATCCATAAAGACGAGTCTCTTTGTCTGGTCCCGCTATCCCAATGTCAGTATCAAGGGGTCGGGAATTCAAGTAAAAAGGAGGCATGGGGAAAGAGAACTTACGAAGTCAATGTACCCCGGTTTCGGCCGCATTGGGGGATGCCCTGGCACCGGATACACAAAATCAAGAGCGATGCCTGCATTGTCCTTCGAAGGCTTCATTGCCTCCTTGATGTGCTGTGCCACTTCGGAGGGGGAGAGCACTCCCTTGACGAGCGCCATCCCATCGAGGGACACCCCGAGCGCCATCATGTGTAGGGGAAGCACACGCCTCATTAGCGGTGCCACTCTCCGTGTATGGTAGGCGCCGATGATCCCCGATCCCTTCACGCCCCTCTCCTTTAGAATTCGGATGGCGGCAAGATGGTCCTGGATTTTCTTCTTATCTTTATCCGGGACCCCCCACATCCTCTATGATTCTAGGACCTCTTCGATGAGGCGCGCGGTGAGCGCTAGCAAGGGGGCGGCTGCGTCATCCTTGGCGTAGAATCAATGCGAATGTCACCCCTTGTTGGAGGTCGACAGACGCATCGACGGGTACTCATTGACCCGGTTGTTGCGAAGCGAGATGCCGGCGCATCCCATCGGCACGCTCAGCTCTCGCTTCTTCAAGAGGGTGACGGCGAAGAGATACCACCATAGGTCAAAGTGGTGACTAATCCCCAAGAACCCCTCACACAGGGCGATGAACACCGCAATGTGCTGGACCCCATTAGGAGTAAGGTGTTGTAGCTCCACCTTGTAGTAATTCAGTAGCCCCTGAAGGAACTTGTGGGCGGGGGTGGTGAATCCCTGCTCGTGAAAGTGAGTGAAGGACACAACGTAGCCTTCAGGCGGCGATAGCGCGTCTTCATTGCTGGGTAGCCGCCACTCCTCGGTGATAGTCCGCACGCAAAGAAGGCCATGGCGAACAAAGCCCTCCAGGCGCTAGAGGGTGACATCGGATCTACACCACTGCTCCATTAGATGATGGGGGTGGTTCGATGCGAGCTTGACGGTGGCTGCGATGCGGGTGCGGGAGGCTTAGGCGATTAGCGGCGGAGTTTGTAGATGCAAAGGTGAGGAGGCAAAGTACGAAACCCTAAGGATGAACCCCTTGGTTTTATAGGGGCAACAGATGCGAGAAGGGCAACCGTCCACCTAGATCTCCATGCCTACCACGATACACCACCACGTCATGTTGCGGGATATGCGTCCGCGATCCCTATCCTTTCCCACCAAAGTCACGCCGGATGTTTCGCCTTCCCGTGTAGACTAGGACTCTTTTCCTACTTAGGGGATACGGGTCAAAAAGCATTTCGTCGGCCCGCCTAGGCCCAGGAGTTCGAGGGCTGGCCCAATAGTTTTAACGGTCATCCCAACGAGGGATGGGCCCACAAGCAGCCAAAACTCAGGTGCACGAGCCTCAAGGGAGTCTCGATGCGCAATCGAGTCTCAACCGAGCTGACCCTGGACGAATCCCCGCGAATGTGATACCAGGGTTCCCTTTAAACTATTAAGTTGTCAAACAACCAAATCTCACAGTGATACCCACGAAGGGTCCGAATTACTCCCCGGGTGATTCTATCCGAATCACCTGGGGGCTCGGGGGCTACACCCGATGGGTGCGCCCGCGCGCACCCTCTAGCGAATCGAAATACCGCCTGGGCGTTTCTATCCGAATCACCCGGGGGCTCGAGGGCTACACCCGATGGGTGCGCTCGCGCGCACCCTCTAGCGAATTGAAATACCCCCCCGAGCGATTCTATCCGAATCACCCAGGGGCTCAGGGGCTAAACCCATCGGGTGCGCTCATGCACACCCTCTGGCAAGTCAAATCACCCGGGCGATTCTATCCAAATCGCCTAGGGGCTCGGGGGCTACTGTCGGGGACCAAATACTGGGATACCCAAAGAGGTGGAACTAATAACCATCAAACGCTAATGCTTTCGAATAGACAAGAGTGCAACTACACTTCTTGCCCATACGACCGAAGGTTGGCTACGCCTCGCCCGGCCCCTAAGGGTTGGCTCCGCCTCGCCCGACCCCAAAGGGTTGGCTCCGCCTCGCCTGACCCCCGAGGGCAGGACTCCACCTCGTCCATCGTCTGGGGCCAAACTCTGCCTTGCCCAATGGTTGAGGGCTAGTTTCGCCTCGCCCAATGTTTGGGGGCTGGCTCTGCCTCGCTCGACATCCGAGGGCTGGCTCCACCTTGCCCGACGTCCAAGGGCAGGCTCCGTCTCGCCCGACGTCCGAGGGCTGGCTCCGCCTCGCGCCGACGTCTATAGCCTGCTCCTTCATAATAATGAGCACAGGGTAAGACAGGACAGTCAGGTCAACCATAGTACCAAGGACCATACCCTACACACCTGTGGGAAAGTACCATCAGGATATGATGGGATGGGCGCTTTAAGCCCTTCCAGGCATGACAGAGCCTGAACAGGGTTGTAGGCGCCGACTTTTATCTTACAGTGTTGTGGGCACCGCCATCAATCCTCGGACGTGGATCCTGATATAAGCATACGACAACCACTATAATCCAGGAGGGAACTCATATCACCTACAGTAATGAACGTATGGTCACTACCCCGTCTGCTCCCCGTAGGGTCATGGCTCGGCACCCTGGCACGCCGCACCATCCGCCGAAGTAGGATGGGATGTGACCACTTGCTAAACAAAGCTAGAGCACAACCCTATCAGGATCAACGAACGTGCTATCCCTAGCACCGTCTGCCATGTCAGCAGGGCAGGCTTAAGGGAAAAGGAAGACCCGGCACCTTCGAAGGACCTTCTCTACCTCTAGTTTTTTCCTCTTTCTCCCGTCTGTAACCCCTGCTCCCCCTTAGTCTATAAAAGGGAGGACAGGGCACCCACTAAGGGGATAGATGAATTCCACACACATAACACACAGTTTAGCAGCAACCGAGCTCTCAGCGCCCTTTCGACCTTTCCATCAGAGACTTGGGACCTGTCCCTCTCTCAACTGTTTGTACCCCCTACTACGAACCTTTTAGTGCTAATAATACAAGCAACAGCAAACTGGACATAGGGACATTTTGCCCGAACCAGTATAAACCTTGTGTATTTTATCATACCATCCGGGCCCAACGCGCAACAAATCTAAATCTACTAGTTGTTGTTTATTTGAAACACCGACACTTGTCCTCGGCAGCGGCCACCTTGTCAACCAGCTCTGGGCCTTCGGCTCAACGGCCGCTGAGCAGGACGGGTTCGGGCACCGCGGATCATCATCCACCACCATCCACCGCGCCTATGAGGTTCACGAAGATGGCCGATGAAGGCGACCATGGAGCAGAGGAGGCATGGCTCCACGGCGGCGTGCACGCCGCCACGCACGCGCTCCTCAGCATCCTACCGCTGCCCATGGGACGCATGGTGTGCGCCGCCTCCGGGTGATGGTGACAGGGGATCCTGTTACTATATGACAAGCACCCCGGCGGCATTGCCCTGGCGTCGCAGGTGGAGCTCCCCTTCGGCAAGCTACTAGTTACGGCGGCGAACGACAGTCCCTCGCGGACGAGCAAGCCATAGTTGGCCACAAGCTCCGCTGCTCTAACCTGGAGAAGGCCAGCTCACCCGTGGCTGCACCACAAGCAAGCTCCCTGACGCTCGCCTTGCGCACTCGAGCCACCGTTGCTCGGCCACTCTGCGCGCAGCCGCCGCCCGTGCCTCGCCACACACACGCCGCGCCCCCCGATGTAGAGGCGGCCAACCCATCACCGTCACCTCCGGCCCCCGCACACCCACGTCCCTGGACATCCTACTCCTCCCTGCTGACGCCAAGACGCTGGCTGTCTGCGCGCTCGATGGCAGCCACGGGCGGCGCCAGGTGGTCCTGGGCGCGCGAGGCCACCCAACTGCCGCCGCAGCCGTCGACGGCAACCTCCACGGCCAAAACGACAGCGTTTCTCTCTTCGCCATGCACGGGCAAGGCCAGGCACGCACCGCCGGCATGCCCGCGGTAGCGCCGATGCCGCCTGCGGTCGCGTCGTCGCCTCACTTGTTTAGCGACGACATCGATGGCTGGGACGACCTCTTCGCCATCTCACGGCAAATGGGGCTCATGTCGCTCGGCGGCGACCAGCACCGTTGCGGCTACATGGCTAACGACGCCTCCCAGCTGAGCTACCAACCGACTGGTCAGTGTTCTTATTAACAGTGTTGTGCATTGCTGCCATTGCATGTGGAATCTCATAGATATATATTGCATTATACATATACTCTTACTCGTATAGAGTAATTGATGATCATCTGTAGGCTGATCTGTGATTATGGGGTTAATGACTGGATGAACATTTATTTGCAGGGACGACGACGGCGGCGGCGGCGTCTATCCAGGTGTTCATCAACGGTGTGGTGTACGAGGTGCCAGGCGGTGGCGCATTGTTGGACTTGGCTGGCACGTTTGGGCATGACGCGATGCTGGTTCACTCCTCCGGCGAGATCCTACCGGTGAACGAGAACGGCATCCTCATGAAGAGATTGCAGATGGGGGAATGCTACTACCTGGTAGGTGAACCAGCAGTCCAGCAGATGCATGAGTTGTATTATATGCTGTCAGTTGTTATGACATTATTTACAACGTTATCAAACTAAAATCTGTTTTCTCCTTTTCCCAGGTTTCGAGATCAACTTAATCATCAGCTAGCCTGGTGTGTATTATGATTCAAGTTATGTGCTAGGAAGCACGAACACTAGATGAGTAGATTGTTAGGTCCAGATCTTATGTCAGTGTGTGTACTAATGTGTTGCCCCGATCATCTCTCTCTCTCTCTCTCTCCCCACATCGATGTATATTATTATCTGAATGCATCGTCCCCTTGAGAGTTTCCTTTTCAGTGTTCTCGAGATTTTTGCTTGTAGCTGATGAATGGGTAATCAAAATGACATTATATTCCTCATTATTCCATCATGCTTGTGCTGTGTACTCAGATTTTCTAGGCATGTACTTTTATATGCCAGTGACAATCTGAAGTGTGTGTATCTCTCAACTCTCATGTAGGCAACTGTGAGTTAATATCATTCCTATTGCCATTACAAAAGTAATTAGCATTTTTGGCATTAGCATAAATTTACGACTAGTAATTATATATTGTACTCATTCTGTCTAAAAGATTTCAATTTTTTAATAAAAAACTTAGACAGATGATCTTTATGGAGAAGAAAAACTTGGACGCCTCTTGTGTTAATTAAGTCGTCGCATTGGTTGTCCTTTTTATACCCACTTCATTTGGTTAGGACAGTCCTAACCGAGAAACTATAATGTAGTTTGTATACTTGTCAGTCATGTAGACACTATACGTTAAAATCATATTCCTATCGGATGGTTTCATGAAAATATTTTTTTATCCAATCTTGTGTCTTTTCTCTCCTATTATCTATCTATCACAGCTCTTTATATCTTGGTTCCACTGTAAATATGATTTCTTATCTAAGGTTCTCTTTGGCAGAGTTTTGGCTTCTCTAAAAATGGTGAAGCCAGTAAAGCCACATTTTCTGGATTCAGCTTTTAGGCTAAAACGGTTTGGGTTTCATCACTTTGCAAGGTTTTAGCTTTAGAGGCTGTTTTGCTTGTGACTGTTTCGCAGGCCTTCCCTAAGAAGCCACAGGTGGAGCCCCTCTAGAAGTCATAATTAAGAGGGCCTAAGAAACCATTTTCTCATGTCTCTTCATTGATTATATAGTGCCACATCACTATTTTACTTAGTTGACACCCTAATTAGTAAACATAGAAACTATGCTAGTTTCTAGGTTAGGACTACCCTTAGCCACATGCAATTAAACGTGCATGCAGAAGATTAAGGAAACAAGTGCCAATTACAAAACGCCATGCATTCAGGATTATTCTTACAAGCCAATATTATTCACCTGCAGCTACAGCAAGCTATTGGAAGTGTTCAAGAGATCAATGCTGAATTCCAAGCCAAACAAATCAAGAAGGTCGTCCAAGGTAACCTCCACCCCATTTCAGCACAAGAAGCCCGGTACGCGAAGGTGCAACTAGGGGGGGAAGAGTCATTTGGGTATTCAGGGTATGTTTGGTTGCAACCCTGAATCTTTTGCGTGGAGAAAAAGATGCTACTTGTTTGGTTGAAACTTACTGCCTGATCGAGAAAGGAGAGCCGTGGCGCCCTAGAGAGTCACGGTGATTAGCTAGAGCCCGACAACAGCAAGCAGCAGCCAGGAGCTCAGGACTGCTAGCTCCAAGCAAATACTTTCCAGGTAGACTACAGGCTGCAAATTTTTCAGGCAAAATTGGCCCAGGGGGCTGCATCCAAACACACTCTCATCAGCCCAGTGCAAGCAAAGTCATCTTTGGTCAACCCAAGCAAAGGCCTCTTTGGTGATTGGGCACCCTGTATTTAGCCCAAGCAAACACTATTAAATCTTGTTAAGCAAATAATCACCCTCTCCGTTTTAGGATGCAAAAATTAAACAATGCGCATTAGCCAAATCGTGGCCGCTTCGAGCCTTGGGCACGTGTTTGTTAATATATCAAGATTTAATAGTATTTCACCTCAAGCAAGACTTAGTTTTTGAAGATCCGGTTATTGATCAGCAACTCCTGTTTTTTTTTTCTTTAGGGCAACGAATTGAATCTGATTCTCCTTTTTATCTCCGGGTTACCATGGCTACGCTAGCAACAAGGACCACGGCAACATCCACAGTCAGTGACCCGCAACAGTAAAAGGATACACATTATTCGCCCCTTGTTGATTCATCTTTGACGACAAGAATTCAGGCGACAACACAGTCAAGATTAGTTAATTACCTTGGGCAACAATGCAGCGAATTAGTTGTTTCGCCAGCAGCAGTCTCGTCACCTTCAGTTATATATCATCTTCATTCTTCAGTCTGGGTGTCCAAATTAATCTGAACGAACCTCCCGCCACTTGATTTTCATTAGCTTCGCCAGCTACTCACGTGTCAGTTACAGACTTATAGTACAAATAACGACATGAAGGCGCAAATAATCCTTTATCATCCTTTCTTATAGTACCATACCCTAGAAAATCAGAGACACTTGTCTTTTTCGTCTCTCAAGAATGACGTCTCGCTTTAGGGGCTGTTTGGTTGGTGATCAAAACTTGCCACGCTAAAGATAGTCATGCTATAGTTTTTTCCGACAGTTGTTTGATCCATTGTCATAACTATAGCGTGTCATACTTTCTTAGCCATCTATCCCACATATCATGAACTCATTTTTGTACCAAACTTTGCCACAAGTGTGGCTTCAATTTGGTTCGCCACATTTTCTATGGCAGTCACAATTTGCCGAAAGTTAGTATAGCAATTAAAATTTTCATATTCGAAAATAAACGTCGCAAGTTCCTTTAAATCCAGAACATTGGGCAACCATCTCTTCTTCAGCTAATCAGCTTGCACTTGCAGCAAGCTACTCTCTCCGTCCTAAATTATAAGTCGTTCCAACTTTCTTGCAGAGTCAAAACATCTCAAGTTTAACTAAAATTATCAAGAGAATTACAAAGATTCATGATATCTAATAGGTAATACTATATATAGTCAATGATAAAGAATCTATTAATACTTATTTAGTATTATGAATGCTATTATTTAATTATATAAATTTGGTTAAATTTGAGATGCTTTGCCTTTCAAAAAAATGTTAAAATAGCATAATCTAGGACAGAGGGAGTAGTAGTTTTGTCAGTCCGATTCGGTTCTCTAGCTTCGGCTTCCCCCAGTTTGGTTTTCCACGCTGTCACAAGGCTCCAGGTGCAGCGACACATTTGGGGATTCAGACCACAGAAATTGTCAGTTTTCTCCTGCCAAGGCTAAGCCACTACTGGGCCACCCCATTCAGCATCTCAACTTGGCTGACCTAGAATCGCCAGATAAATAAGTGGGTTGCTTCGCCAAAGAGGCCGTAGGGCCGGGCCACCCTCTTCATTTTCAAGCATAAGTTCTGGTGATCACCAATTACTTATCCATTTGTGCTAATAAAACCCTACTTCATCTGTTCTAAAAAGATATAATTTTCAGTTTTTGAGGAGTCAACAATTTTAAGTTCAACCAACTATAAAAAATACTGCCAATTAAAGAAAATTTGAATTGGTTCCAATCTTAAATTGCATTTTCACTACTACACATATCATTTTTACAAACAGCTCCGATTTCGTATAGAGACGGTCCACATAAGAAACCGCCTCTAACTAGGATGAGGAGCATTTCAGCTCGCAAACAGGGGTGCCCAAACTTGTGTTAGGTGGAGAATTGACACACATGATCCAACTTCCGATCAACAAGACCCTGACACTACAATCGCCACACCACACCTCTATATTTATCAGTCATCCATTGTGAGGATGACCTCACCATGAAGTCTAATTCGCTCTCTTCCTATGAATTGCTGAAAAAGATTGAGCACTTGAAGATGGGGTCTCACAAACCGAGAACAATGAAACTGTTCAATGATAGATTAATCTAAGCAAGAGCCAAAACCCAAACTCAAGTGGCGGCTACCAAATATAAGCTATTAGGTTTGACTAGCGACCCATGTACATGTTGCTAATGGACTACGACACAAGACATTGGCTCAACGACCCAAAAGACAATGACAGAACACCGTGACAACATATGTATGTCCACTTGTTTCGATGATTTCCGTTGACTCATGGAATTTTGACACGAGACTTGTTCCACTGGAAAGATTCTCTCCTTAGCTCTATGTGCACATTAGGGATGCACGTGGGATAGCCTACGAACACACATTTAGGCTTAATTTTGCATGTTGCCACAAGCAAATCACAAAATCAATCCTATATGTGGGTTCATTGGCTAGCCCACTTGCATTCCTAGTGCACATGTAGAACGTCAAAATCAGAGTCATAGTGTTGATCTTGACACAAAGGCTTGCACAACCAAGGAAAAGTGCTAATAGCCACTAAGTCTCACCACCATTACTCGTTGCCTTCACTCGCTTTGGCGTAGTTCACTATGGAGCTTCTCTACCTAGAAAAAAGGCCTCCTTGTTCCTGCACACCAAGTTGTTACCACTCCACACCAAGAATGAAGGGTTGACGTGGCAAAGTCACCAAGACATCAATTCCTCTGGCTCATCAAAATTACAACACTCAATGCCTCTAGCTCTAAGGTCTATCCCTCACAAAGATGAACACTAATTCCTACCATGCCTTGGATGTGATAGATATGCACTTGATAGGATGGATGGAAAGTAGAATCACTTGATCTAGCTTCTAGCATCCCTGGGACAATTCCTTCCATGCCAAGTGAGTAGGAACTCTTATATATAGTCGGCTGACCCCAAACTATCCATCGACAAAGTACTACCGAAGAGCCACTGGCTTGATGGTCTTGTGACTTGACCATCAGATCATTTATTATAGTTGAAGTGGTTGTCCATCCCATGCAATTGCGCAATGCCATATCGTAATATATGGTCGAATGATGCTTACTTTCAGCCAATTATATATCTAGCTAGTCATGCCTCATTTGTGTTGTGCTCCCCCCTTCTTCTTTGTTTGGTCAATTGGTCTATTCAATTGAATAGTGCATGCAGTAGAGCCACTGGACAAATGACACTATGATTTGTCCAACATACTCATTTTGGTAAGGTGTAAAATGTCCAGTGATGTCTTATCTATCTGAATTCATCATTTTGAGTGTGTTTGTTGGCCAATCTCCATGCCACTTCTTCCCTTCCATCCCTAGGATCTGTTATAACATGCCTAACTATAACATTGATACAGACAGTTTATGTACCTCAGATGATTTGACCACCCTGCTCCTGTCACAATATTTGCATATTTGTACGCTACTACCGTTGTTTCCAGAGGATTAGGTTACAAGGGTATTTATCATAGCACACATGTTAGTCCCAGTGATTGGATTATCAACTAAATCACCAATATCATACTTAAATACGGACATGGGCACATGATCCCTGCAGCAGAAGTTTGATTCTAGCTAGTAATAATTTCTAATTAGTACTTCCAACTTTTGCAAATGTAAGTTGTGTTTTAGTTTCACACGTCAAATTTCATTAACTAGGTCCAATTTTTAATCATTCCAAATTATAGTTCACATTCAGTATGTTCTAACTCACATAAATTTGACCAATCTTTTAGAGAATATATGAGTTGAAAGTAATGAACTATGAAAACATATTTTTAGGAGAATTTAGTAAAACTAATTGATGTTGCAGATGTTGTTGCATTTTTTATAAAATAGGCCAAAATTAGAGAAGTTTGACCGAGGACAAAGTCAAAATGAACTATGATTTGGAAAGGAGAGGATAGCATCTATCAAGACATATTTCATGGTGGATTTGGAAACTAATTGGATGTGGTATGCATTTTCTATTAAACTTGATCTATACTAAAGGGAAGTCTGACTTACAACAATATTAAAACACCTTACATTTTGGAACATAAATCAGCATAAACCATATCTTCGATATGTGAAACACACCTTACATTCTGGAGTAGTTGTTATTATTACCTTTCGGTGTTTTGTAAACCAGACTAGTAAATTTATATGAATGCCGCACTGCTCTAGGAAGACGATGGTAGCATCGAAAAGACACGAGGATTTATACTAGTTTAGGCTAGAGCCCTATGTCTAGTCTCAGAGATGATCGAGTGCGTGTTCCTCGCTTGAATGCTCTGAAGTTCTTACAATGGGGTGCAAGAATGGTGGAAGAGGTAGGAGAGCTAGAGCTAGGAGAAGGGCTGCCTGAAGGAAAGCTTTGAGAGCTCGGTGAGAATGAGAATGATTGGATCTGAGTGAGAGCCCCAAATGGAGGCCCTGGCTACCCTTATATAGAGTTTGGAGCCAGGTTACAAAGAAGGAGGTTCTCCCAACCGAAGGGTCGTGAGCCTGAGGGAGGAGGCCTAGCTAACTTGGCTTGCAAGCAACGCCGTCTTGTGGTGTACACCTTCGAGTGGCTATCATCATGGTCTTGTGCTCATGTCGCGACATGGCATGACGTGGTGCCATAGTGCCCGTCATGAAGGTACTGTGGGCATGGTGGTGTTTCGCCAGCCGTCCTATGTGACGTGGTCTTGCTATGGTCTTTGTCATCGCCTCCTGATCATCTGGGGGTGCCATACAAGAGTAGGTAGCAGCCCTCAGATTGTCGATCGTCTTGCTGCTTGTGGAGTTGGTAGCCAGGATCCCGAGCTCTGACGTCGTGGCCCATGTTGGTTTGGATGGCCTCTAAGTCAAGGCCATCATCTTGGATCCCATCCCATTATGGGTGGGATCGTACATACATCTTGTTGGGCCATATTTGGATGGTGGTTATCCGTACCTGCCATCACCGCCTGGCGGTGTTATCTTTTCTTTGTTGCGTGGCGCAGGGATGGAGTCTGATCGGACTGAGGTGACGCGGTCCTTGCAGGGTCAGTGCGGCATGCCTACTCCTGCCAACGTAGGCACGCTTGGCTAGACTCAATCTCTCCCTGTTCCTTCCAAGGGCTAGGTCGGTGGATTGTGGTCGTGAGTCCTCGTGCAGCGTGCGGCTGAGGTAGATGGAGGGGTCATGGTGACCCCCGGCCTTAGAGTTCGACACGGTCTGCTTAGATTAGCTAGTCCTCAATCGCTTGGGCTTATACTAGCTAGCATATCGTGGGCCACTCGAGCGGCTATATAATCGATGCCTTGAGATACCCAAGGTATCATAACCCTGATAGTAGCCCTCGAGCA